ACGTCATGGTATTCGGCAGCCAACTGTCACCGGTGAACAACTTTCCTCAGATCAGGCTGCGGCGCAGGCATACCTTGCTTCATTTGACAATTTAATAAGCGAAGGAAATTATTGCCCCCAACAGATATATAACGCCGATGAAACCGGCCTAAATTTTAGAGCACTGCCAAGTAAAAGCTAAAATGTGTAAGGACCAAGTAACCATTATGGCTTGTTCCAATGCTGCTGGTAAACATAAGCTCCCTCTTATGATGAAAGGCTGCAGTGATAGGTAATCTTGTGATATGGTTTTTAGCTATTCTGGTTGTCAGTATTTCTTTGGATTACTGGAAATGTGTGATGGGGCCCAGAGAATTGGACCTTTTACCCAGACCAGGAAGACAGCCCAAGCCAGCTTTGATTACACTTATTTAACTAACACACTTAAATACCCTAATTTTGATTGACACCTTCCAAACTAATATATAAATATATATAAGAAAAACCTGATTGAAGCAAGAATTGGTTCAATTGTAACTGGTAGATGAACTAAGCAATCCCTTTTACCGGCAACTTAATCTCTTGGAACATGTGACTTCGAAACATGAAAAAGATTGTTTGATTCCGTTAGGCGGAATCAAACTTGATAGTTATTTACTACATTTTCCAGCGTACCTGCGAAGCCAGTGGCTTCTCCCCCCCTGAAATTTACTTCTAGCCTAACATATTTTTATATTTTGCTTAAAACTAATAAGTTAACTTAGCTTGATGATTGTTCATTTCTATACAAAGTTTGAAGACTCGAAGTTGGTCAAATCACGGCAGCGGGCAGACAGGGGCGAGAGAAGAGGCGAGCCGGATGAGCTTAGAAAAAAGATTGGTCCAAGAAAAAGACCGGTTGAACGGCATGCTAGCACGTAACGCCATGAAGCTGTGGCGCTTGCGTCACAAGGCAAAGCTGCTAAGCCTCGAGCCTTCAAACATATAAACATGAAATCACTTCCAGTGTATTACAGGAACCAGAAGAGAGGCTGGATGGACGGGAAACTGTTTAAAGAATGGTTCCATGACCAATTCGTACCATCTGTTAAACGCTTTAGCCAAGAAAATGACATTCCCCCGTGTGCTATTCTTTTGCCAGATAATGCACCGTCCCACCCAGACGTCGACGAACTAACATGTGGCGAAATAAAGGCAGCCTTTTTACCTCCAAATGTGACGCCATTATTGCAACCAATGGACCAGGAGGTTTTGCAGGCTCTGAAGCTTAAGTATCGCAAACACTTTTTAAAGTCCCTAATATAAGATGATACAATCCCCTTGGTTCAAAAAATTAAACAGACAAACGTAAAGGATGTTGTGTATTGGGTTGCTGAATCTTGGGAAAATGTGACGACTGGAGCGATAAGAAAATCGTGGAAAAAGTTGTGGAAATCGTTAGATTTTGAAGAAAACCCTACCGAAAATGACCCAGTTAACTTGTTACCAATGATTCAAAACATTCCTGGTTGTGAAAACGCGGTCAAAGAGGACGTGGATGAATGGATGGCGGCAGACGGTACTAGTGCAGAGACTCTGACTGACGATGACGTCATAGCAGCAGTGACACAAGATCATGTTCAGGGAGACGAGGGAGAGGGTAGTGATGACGAGCCAGGGGGCGGGGGAGGAGAGGAGAAAGTGACACACAATGAGGCAGCTGCAGCACTTGACCTTGCCCTTCGCTACTTAGAACAACAGTCTACTGCCACGCCTGCAGATGTGATGTTCATGAGAAAATGGCGGAACTACGCGGCAAAAAACAGACTTACTAAACTGCAGTAAATGACAATGCGGGACTTCATGTCCAATAACAAGTAGGCCTAACCAAAGTTAATTTTTCAGTACGGTATGTGCAATATTTCTTACAAAATAATTCTTTGTTTTATTTGTTTTTTTATTACGATTTGTAGATTTAAACTTTACGTAATAAACAAACCATTGTATTCCTTAATTGATTACCCTGTTTATACAGGGTGCGGCAGAAAGAACTCCCCTATTAGGAAAGCTAATAAAAACAAAACCAAGTAAGATATGACATTTTTATTACTACTAACCAAAAACAAACATTATGCCATTTAAAAAAATATAAAATTATAATGCTTTAAATAAAATGTCGTTTTAATAATCGATAATGTAAAATTATCATGTTTGAAATAAAATTTCATTTAAATGGCGGCCTCCAGTGTTAACACATTGGTTCAAACGTTCCCGGTAGTTGTCCATTACCTTTCGGGTCATGTCGGGTGAGATGGCTGCAACTTCATGCCTTATTCTTTCCTTGAGGGCTTCCAAACTTTGAGGGCGATGTTCGTATACCTTAGACTTTAGATAGCGTTGAGTGGCTATAGGCGATCCGCCATTTTGAATGAACTGCTCCACCACAAACGCGCGATGCTGCCCTGACCAAACCATGGCGTACACTGAAACGGCACGTACGCATCTATTCAAGGACACAACCCCCACCACTCTACCTCACCGCTGCTCGCTACCGCTAGCCTTAGAAATCGGGGAGTTCTTTCTGCCGCACCCTTTACTTCATTTCAAGATGTTTTACCTTTCCTATTGCATTTTATATAGTGCAAATTTATTAAAAATAATATCGGGAACGTGTTCGGATTAAGCGGACGTTTGGATTAACCGTGTTCGGATTAGAGGGACTCAAGTGTAGTTAATTTGGGTCGCCGGAATTTTATCCCCCTCGAATTTTACCCCCTGGGCAAAGCTGACGACACTATGACGTAGTAACCCGAGTGGCCAAAAGTTTGTTTTCGCGGCTGGAATTTTACTCCCGCGGATTTGGAAGTCTAATGAAAATAGTCAGATCGTGATTAATTAGATTAGCAATAAAAACCGGAATTTTACCCCCTGTCAATAATTAGCGTTTAGACAACTGAAGATGTATGGGCTGGATTTTTACCCCCGGAATTTTAACACCGGATTTTTACCCCCCGGAATTTTACCCCCGGATTTTTACACTCCGGAATTTTACCCCCTGGCCGATTTTAAAAATTGAATGATTGTTTTCTTATTTCTGTTTTTAATAATTGTAAACATTTCATTATTTAGTAGCCTATCTTTATTTATTTATTTTTTAACCTCAACTAAGTAAACAGAATTCGCTGTTTTATTTTGATCATATTAACCAACAGTTGGCTACAAAGATCAAATCCTGATACTCGAATCTCAAAATTAAAAAAAAACCTGTTCGATTAATAATAAATAATAGTCAAAACTGCCACCAAAAATCTAATTACTAACACTCTACTAATTAATACTACTACTACTAATTAATAACACTCTAGATAGTTTATTGATAACAATTGACTAGTTTCAGCAGTCGTTTAGTTTCAGAAAAACCAGTTTTGGTCGGCAACGTAATTAGACGTTATCCGGTCTCTGTGTTCGCTTGTGTGACTGTGCCACAGACCTGGGACTGTGTAGAGATGTATGTCTGACTGAGTAACTATTTGATATTTTATGAGTGGCAAAAATATTGAGCTCATCTAATGGTAGTAAGGACAGAGCTGGAGAGAGTCACTAATAAAAAAAATATCAAGCTTAGATTTGAACACCTATTAATCAAAGGTGAAAAGTTTACCTGGGAGAATAAGTCACTAAGGGTAAGGCTAGAGGATGGAGGAGTCGTCCTGAAGAGTATGTTCGTTATAGACTTTGCAGCCTTTCTGTCAGACCTGGCAACCAACGGACCCAGAAGACAAGATCACGACCAAGATGACGGGCGACCTACAGTGACAACAGCAGCCGGACCAGGACCAACGCCATACTATCAGCAGTGGGGGCATCTCAGGCTTGAGGAGGCAACGAAAGTGCCAAAGAAGTGGATTTAGCTGATAGACATGTCTTGATAATAATATCATTGACTATTGGATACAGAAGTTGTTGTATTAATAGTCAAAGATAATATCCTATAATGTATGTGGTCTAAAAAGTAAGGTCAGTGGAGAAAGTAGTAATTTTTTTATAAATTTATTAATAAAATGAGTATGATGTTATTTTGTTGTTGGAAACCTTTATAACGGAAGAAGATAGGGAATTTATTTCAAAGTTATTTTTTTATTACAGCTACAGGTGATCATTTAAGTTTGCCTTTAGAACAGCAAATTTTGGTAGGGCTAAGGGAGGTTTAATTTCTTGAAGGTTTAATGAAATTCACAATGTATCATGTTTAGAAGGCCCAGGCCCCTTTTTTATTTGACACCAAGGGAAAGTGCCTCGGGGGACAGGATGTTTTCCAGAAAATGTTTTCTGCGTTAAAAACTAATGATTAGCAGTTGCATAATATTTCATATAGGAGTTGTTTATTAATCGGTGCATCAAACAGGTCTTGACATGTTAGAGTCCCAATGTGAATTTGATGCTCTAATACTTAAATTCTCTAAGACATTAACTGTAAAACTAATTTAGTTAGACTAATACAACAATAATGATACAATCTAAGGGGTTAGGGGAGTACCTAACAATATTTTAGATGGTTTTAGGCCCCCAAGGGGGTGGGGGGGGGGATTAACATCATCGGTACAAAGAAGAATGGACTTCCTTTGGGGGCTAACCTCGCTGCAACAAATTTGTTAAATATCTTGAACGTCTTGAACGTCTATGAACGTCTTATAAATAAATAATAAATATAGGCTACCTACTTAATTTATTACAAATTATTAATTTAAAACTGAATGAAGATGATTAATCATTCTCACTAATTTATATATCTGGCCGGGGGGTAAAATTCCGGGGGTAAAAATCCGGGCCGTACATTCTAGGTTTTTATAATTTGATGTGTTCTGATTAAATTCACAACCGTAAAAATATATGTTTAATTCCGCGTTTAATCCATCGAGCTGATGTCGCGAAACTCAAAAGTTCATGGCCAGAATTTTACCCCCTGGTTTGTGACGTCTCATTTGCCCAGGGAGTAAAATTCCAGGGGGATAAAAATCCGCTACCCCATTAATTTCACTTACCGTGTGCTTAACGTCCAAGTTAAGACTGCACAAAGGGCATGCTTTGCATTCCGTGTGAGGTTCAGGCTTTATCAACAAGTGCTCTCTGGGAGATGGAGAGATAACTCCTTCTACAACTAGCGTTTTTCCTTCTTGTTTTTCTACAACTGAAACAAACAAGAGTGTTAAACAATCTAACTTAGTTTTGGATTATTTCAGTGCAGTATAGGTTACGGGTTACAGCCTACTTTTCTTACTTATTGAATCAATTTAATGGTTTTTTTCTAAAAGTAAGCCTTGATTGAATGTTTTCTAAGTATTACAACTTTTTATCTTTAGTTACATTTTTTAAATAGTACCTATATAAACAAATTTTACAGGAAGTTATAACAATGGTTTTTTTATATGAAGAAAATAATCACTAAACCACTGTGGTTGGGATTTTTTTTTTGTTACAGAAGCATGAAATTTCTGCTGCCTTTTAAGAAAAATGTGGTTTTTACTATTATTTTAGCGAATTTCCTTATAGGGAAGTAGCTATTACCATAGGTCTTTTCATTTTGATGTCACCAGAGACCAAAAACACCATTTGTTCAAAATGTTAGATATATTCTCGTAGATTTATATATATATATATATATATATACATGTGTGTGTGTGTGTATCTGTGAATGTGATAACTTGACTAATTTTTGTCCGATTTTGATTAAATCTGGTTTGAAGATGTAAGGCAGGATAAACTTGAATGAGTTCGCAAACCATTTAATCATCAGCATAATCAGACCATGGTAACGGGGTTTTAGAGGGGGTTTTATGAGGTAAAAATTGGTTTTTCTCATTTTTGACCATCAAAACACAAAATTTCCCAATTTCTCTCTAGGCCATTTTAAAGAGCTTACAAAAACAAATATTTTAGTATATATAATATTATATATGTGAAAGTTTGTGTGTTTGTGTGTTTGAAGTTCAATCACGCATAAACCACTGGACGGATTGGGCGGAAATTTGGCATGATGATAGCTTACATACCTGATTAACATATAGGCATATTCTTATCTCAAAAACCCTTTCGGGCTCCGTCCCAGTGGCTCTGTAATTCCGCATGTTAACCTTATGAGTATCTATTATATTATTAAAGTGATACAATCAAATTTTATGTAAACGGTTAAGGTCATTTACCAAATAAAAATATACGCATATGGCACATCAAAATGAAGCTTAGAGTGTGTAGATTTGCCGAAAAGTATTGATATGGACGAATTTCCTAAGGGCTCTGCCACACAGGTTAATTTCCAAAGGGCTACACCTGGCATATTTCCAAAGTTCAAATGATATAATTCAATTTAGTTCATGAAACAGCTGGTCAGTGCAATGAATTGGTGTTTGTTTATTTACTAGAAAAATGAAGATTGAGGAGGGTTATGTTTGGTTTTAAAGAAAGGTTGTATAAGTTTTGTTGAGCGGAGCGAGCAAAGCGAGCGAAGCTCTTATACGTCGACTCTTATGCATTTCGTAATACGCAAACTCCTCCTAGACGGCTGAATCAATCTTTTTAAATTTTGCATGGTGATAAAGACCATATCGGTGAGTGCCAACATCTATATGGCGTTAAAAAAGTCCCTCAGGAATCCGCCCCACTGGGTCTCAAAGTTTCAATGTAATCCTAATGGAAGCAGTATTTGACACATAAACAAAGACATATGATCAGCTGTTGACTTTTGAATGCAGTAGATAAAGAAATAGCTGATAGCATTATTCCACAGATATTGGAACAGAAACGGTATGGATCATAAATATAATCAAATTACGACACTAGCTTGAGGTCCGTGACGTAGGAAGTGATGAAGGATGTAGTAAAGGTGAGCAGTCTGGAGTGTGGAAACTGTTTATGACGATTAGATTTAGGTATCTGCATTCCTAAAATTCTATGGGAAGGGAGGAAAACGGGTCCGCGACGTAGGAAGTGGTGAAGGAAGAGGATTAAAGGCGAGCTGTTCGGGGTATGGGATCTGTTAATGACAATTAGATTAAGGTATCTGCAATCCTAAAATGCTATGGGAAGGGAGGGAAACAGGTCCGTGAAGTAGGAAGTAGTGAAGGAAGTAGTAAATGCGAGCAGTCCAGAGTGTGGGAACTGTTTATGACAATTAGATTAAGGGATCTGCAAACCTAAAATGCTATTGGAAGGGGAGGAAACAGGTCCCCGACGTAGGAAGTGGTGAAGGAAGAGGAGTAAAGGCGAGCTGTTCGGGGTATGGGATCTGTTAATGACAATTAGATTATGATCTTTGCAATCCTACGATGCTATGGAAAGGGAGGGAAACAGGTCCGTGACGTAGGAAGTGGTGAAGGAAGTAGTCAAGGCGAGCTGTCTGGAGTGTGGGAACTGTTAATGATGATTAGATCAAGGTATCTGCAATCCTAAAATGATATGGAAAGGGAGGGAAATAGGTCCGCGACGTAGGAAGTGGTGAAGGAAGTAGTAAAGGCGAGATGTTCGGAGTGTGGGATCTGTTTATGACGATTAGATTAAGGTATCTGCAATCCTAAAATGCTATGGGAAGGGAGGGAAACAGGTCCGTGAATTAGGAAGTAGTGAAGGAAGTAGTAAATGCGAGCAGTCCGGAGTGTGGGAACTGTTTATGACGATTAGATTAAGGGATCTGCAAACCTAAAATGCTATTGGAAGGGGAGGAAACAGGTCCCCGACGTAGGAAGTGGTGAAGGAAGAGGAGTAAAGGCGAGTTGTTTGGAGTGTGGGATCTGTTTATGACCAATAGATTAAGATATTTGCAATCCAATAATGCTAAGGGATGGGAGGGAAACAGGTCCGTGACGTAGGAAGAGGTGAAGGAAGTAGTAAAGGAGAGCAGTCCGGAGAGTGGGAACTTTTTATGACGATTAGATTAAGGTATCTACAATCTTAAAATTCTATGGGAAGAGAGGAAAACAGGAAAAGAAGAGGTGAAGGAAGTAGTAAGGTGAGCAGTGTGGAGTGTGGGAACTGGAAACCGTTTGTAGCGGTTAGATTAATGTATCTGCAATGCTGAAATGCTATGAGAAGGGATGGAAGCATCCCCACGACATAGAAAATGGTGAAAGAAGTAGTAAAGGCTAGCAGTGCGGAGTGTGGGGAATGTCTTTGGCAATTACATTAATGTATCTGCAATCCTAAAATGCTATGGGAAGAGAGGGAAACATGTCCACGACGTAGGGGTTGGTGAAGCAAGTAGTAAAGGTGAGCAGTTTTGAGTGTGGGAATGGATTAATGTATCTGCAATGCTAATATGCTATGGGAAGAGACTGTAGACTGTAGGTTAAAATTATTACGAAGCATGAATCGATACATATTTCCATTTCGATACAAGCAATCGTTTACAATATAAATTTACAACTGAGTTGGCAACAGCTGATTTTTACTCCATAGAGGCTAAAAACAATTTTTACTCCCTAAAGAGTAAAAATGCTACTTTAGACCTGCAACGCATGTATTAAAAACGACTGTTTTTACTGCAGTATGGCAAAAACAATATAATATGAACCCTTGATGACTCCGCTCAATTTTGTGGATGCCTCTGCGAACACCACCTAGTTTAAGTATTGCTCAAAGTTTTTATTTTGTAATTTATATAGTAAGCTACATGGAAAGAGGCTTGACTAAAATTGAAGAATTATGGTAAAACATGTCATTCATGAAGCAGCAATATGAATAAATTGATGCTTAGGTATGTGTCCGTATGGAGGTATGTTCTTTTGGATCTATTAACATCAAAAGTAGGGGTTTGAAAGTAGGATTACACTTTTAAATCAGTTTATATTTTCAAACTAAATCATAGAGTTGCTGTATTTTAAAACACACATCAGCACCATTTGAATAGCTCTCTAGGTCACATTTTCTTCCCGTTGCAAAGCACGGGTATAGCAGCTTGTTCATATTTAAAGGGAATTAAGGGCACTCTGACCTGAAATTTTTAATTTTTTTAATTTTTTTTTATTGATGATTATTATTCTAAATTAAATCCTCTTTCTAACGATATAATACATAAGGTATGGAAAAAAACATTTCCATCTGTAAAAAAATTAAAATGATTCACATTACTTGGAGGAACGAGTTCCTTTTTACATGTACTACGCTTAGTTGCCTGGCATTTCGGCCGTCCCCCGAAAATTGTTAATTTTTAACTTATATTACACTTTACTCAAAAACTATTACACATATCTCAACCAAATTTTTACCACATGTTTATAGTAACAATATCTAGTTCCTTACACAAGACTTTAAAATTACCTCTAAAAATAACAATAATAAAAAATATTCAAATAAATATTTTTAAAACAATTTTTATATATTAAAAAAAAATTAAAATTCTCGGCAAATCCTTGTTATTTTTTAAAACCCTTGCATAAGGAACTAAAACAAGGACAAATTTACACTAGAAACAAAAATTAGATCTCTAGTCCTTATTAAACTTTATTAATGTGTATTATAGCTACCATTGAGTTTAAATGGGAATCGGAGTGCCCTTAAAGAATTTAGTCAGCTGTTTCAACTAAAAAAGATGGTTCTATGATATGGAAAAACATTAAAAAGTTATAAGATTTACCAACAGGGTGCAGCACTATATTTTTTTTGGCATTTATGAAAACAGCTAATTTGAACTAAGCAGCAACAAAAAACTGTGATTTGCAATGAGAACTGTCAAAGTAGGATTGTTTACAGTTATGTTTATATTTTTCATTTCATGAATAATTTGTGATATTTTGCGAATTGTTGATAATTCATTTTTTTCTATTGTTTAGGTGAAGTGGTAGAACATTATGGCTATGGTAGATGTGTAATACTATAGAATACTGTAAATTTAAAAAATCAAATTTTATCAAACTGTGTCCTCCCCATCGATATATAACTACTACTGGATTGCTGGCTGAGCTCGCTAGCCCGAGCCGAAATCAGTGGTTGCGTTTCGCACTTGAAGGCGTCGGGTAGGGGCAAGAAAGGGGCAAGAAACCCGCACGGTGCTTGGGTTTTACATCGCACTGACGCTGTGATAGCATTTGTTTACCCTATTTTAAACTATTGATTCACGAAAAATGTTCATCGGGGGATATTTTGACTAACTATATAGTTATATTAAAAACCGAAAGTATATAAGTTAGTAATCAATTA